GTCCCATGGTCCCGGCACCTGTCAAGGATCAAAGCCCCGTGGTCCCTGAGCCTGTGGACAAAGGTCCCATGGTCCCGGCACCTGTCAAGGATCAAGGTCCTGTGGTTTCAGAGCTTCTGAAGGATCAAAGCGCTGCAGTCATAGCACCTGTAAAGAAGGAAGGTCCTGTGTTCTTTGAGCCTGTAAAGAGTCAAGGTTTAGTGGTTCCGGAGCCAGTCAAGGATCAAGGTGGAGCGGTCCCAGAACTTCTGGAAGATCACGATTCTGTGGTTGCAGCACATGTAAAGAATCAAGGTCCTGTGGTCCCGGCACTATTCAAGGATCAAGGCCCCGTGGTCCCAGAGCCTCCAAAGAATCAAGATCCTGTGGTCCCTGAGCCTGTGAAGAATCAAGTTCCTATAATTTCGGTGCCTCTGAAAGATCAAGACCTCCTGGTGTCACCACCAGCAAAAGACCAAGGTCCTGTTGTCCCCGAGCCTCTGAAGACTCAAGGTCCCAGGGGCCCCCAGCTTCCCACTGTCTCACCTCTACCCCCAGTCATGATCCCAACTGTCCCCCATGCGGAATATATTGAGAGTTCCCCGTGACACTCACCCCTTGACATGCCAAGGAAGGAGCTGACCGTGGAAGTGCTCCCTCCCAGGGGTGGTGAAGACACATATTTAATCTGCATGAAACACGTACTGTATAACCTTGCTGGAATCTAATAAAACTGGTCCCTCTGGCTCAGCAGTGTTTCTCTCTGGTCCTACTTGAGTGTGTGTGTGTGTGTGTGTGTGCACACGTGCACTCACGTACACCGTGCACATTTAAAATTGGGCATGCAGGACTCTGCATTCATCCATCTGAGCCAGACAAGACAGAAATCCCCAGCTCCTGCGAGCAGACAGTGTAAGATGGGAGGGGGTGGGAGAGGCTAGGAGATTGGGGACGGGACCCCATAATGAGGATATGGGGAAGGACGAACCTCTGTTTCTCCTTCACTCTCACACTCCCACAGCACTTCACTTCTGACATCACACATGGAACAATTATCCGACACCAGCTGGGGGTCCTGCCATTCGACTCACTTCTGACACTATCTACCCGGAGATAGCTCCGGGCCCCACAGGTGTTTAGGGCTCAGTTGCACAACTCTGGCCCCACACCCACATTTCAGATGCCAATGGCAAGTCCCAGGTTGTTACTTATACTTCCGACTGTGGGCTGTAAACTGGGATTTCCACAACCCCCACCTGGGTTCAGTAATTTGCTAGTATGTCTCATAGAACTCAGGGTAACACTTACTTAGGTTTACTGGTTTATCATTAAAGGATAAAGGATACTGATGAACATCCAGATGGAAGAGATGTGTGGGGTACAGCATGGGGGAAGGAGCATGAAGCTTCTATGCCCTCACCAGGCATGCCACCCTCTCAGTACCTCCAGCAACCCAGAAGCTCTTCAAACCCCATACTTCAGGGGGTTTTATGGAGGCTTCATTTTGTAGGCATGATCCATTATTAACTCAATATCCAGCCCCTCTCCCCTTCCCAGAGGATAGGGGTGGGGCTGAAAGTTTCATGGTTTGGTCTTTCTAGTGTCCAGCACCCATCCTGAAGCTATTCAGGAGACTACCATGGGCTTCCTCATTACAACAAAAGACAGTCTTATCACCTAGGAAGTTCCAAGAGTTTTAGGAGCTCTGTGCCAGGAACCAGGGACAGAGACCAATATTTTCTATCATTTCACAGGTTGGGTCCCATGAAAGCCGAGGAACAGATACCAGACCGCAGCAGGCTGGATTGGTCAGAGTAGAGCCCAAAGAGGAAAGAGGAACAGGGACCCAGCTGGCCCAGGGTAATTCTGGGTGACAGTTGTTAGCCAAGGGCTCAGACCTCATCCAGAGGTCATGCTTCTTTTTTTTGTTTTTTTAAGATTTTATTTCTTTATTTGAGAGAGAGAGAGAGCACGAGCAGGGGCAGGGGGAGAGGGAGAAGCAGACTCCCCACTGAGAGGGGAGCCCAACGTGAGGCTCGATTCCAGGACCCTGGGATCATGACCTGAGCCAAAGGCAGACACTTAACCGACTGAGCCACCCAGGCGCCCCCAGAGGTCATGCTTCTTGAGAAAACCAGGCCTCTGATCAGAGAGTCCCAGGACACTCGTGAAGGTAGAACCTCACATCTGCTAATCCCCATTCAATATCCGGGACAGCCCAGCCAAGGCTTCTAAAACAATCCTGAGGTTCCTCATTCATTTATACCCGCAACAGACTTTTCCTTAGCACCCACTTTGTCTCATTCAGTGTTGGGCATTGAAGTCACAGTGGTAAAGAAGTCTCAGTCTCATGAGAATAAAAGGTGGTGTGGGATGAGGCCCGAGGACACAGCTAGAGGCGTGGCTATGAGACAACAGTGAAGAGAGAATACTTGGTGGGGGCACCCAGGAAGGCTTCTCGGAGACAGTGGCCATGGAGTACAGACAGCCTGGGGTATCATGGGGTGTGGGTACAAGGGCTGGGGTAAGCCCTTCCGGGAGTCCTTGAATGAAAGAAACCAGATTGCATGACAGCTGACCAAGGGGTGTGGCATAAAACTGGGACCAGGCAGAAGTGACCAGTTCTCAGAATCCGAGGGCCTGAGAGAGGGAGGCAGGCTGGGGAAGAACACCGGGGTGCCACCAGGGCCAAAGCTCCACTTGGTCAGAGATGGGTCCTATGAAGACACCACTGTATGGGCCACGATAATCTCAGAGTCCTCAGGGGCCTGGGGGCATCGGGGGAGCTCTACCTGTTGCCCCCACTAAAGCCAACTCCCAAGGAGCACTCCAACCCCCTTAGGGCCTTTAAGACCCATTATGAACACTAAACCCTTTTAAAGGTCTCTTTTTAAAGTAGCTCAGCTGGGTTGTTAACAGAGAAACCATCACAGGAAGTACTGATGACTTCCAAATAGTCAATTTTTTGAGCAACTGGCCACAGGCTGGCCTCCTCAGCCCGCTCCCAACAGCACCAGGGTTTTCTGCTCCCAGAAACCTCTGTACGTGTACACACACACACACACACACACACACACACACACACACGATTCTTCCCGGCCCACGTAAGAGCTTGCTGCCATACGAGTTCTCAGAGTCGGGGCCCTGCAGACCAGAAAGGCCACACTGAGGTGAAAGAAGTGTTGTGCGTGGAAACCTTCCTCCTTTCCGTTCTCCCTCTGACCCACACACCCAGTCCCATAACTCACACACCCCCACGGGCCAGGCCAATGACGGGGCCACCTCAGAGACACGGAACATCCAGGGGCAGACGTCCAGGACTCCACAGGCTACCAGGGCTCCAGCTCTGAAGGAAGAGCTGCCTGGGAGTGAGCCCCACTTGGGGGAGGTTAAGCTCTCCCAGTGACAGGGTCACAACGGAAGAGAAGTGGGCCCAGTCCAAAGCTCTGGAGACTTTTAAAAGGTAGGATGAGAAATGCACAAAGGAAGCTGGGAAGGCTGGCCCAAAGCTGTAAGAAGACTCAAGGGGCCTTTGCTGCCAGGCCTGTGATGCCCTGTGTCCAGGGCTGAGAGAGAGTGCATTTGAGGACCCGGCTGTGGCCGCTGCTGGGTTTAGCAGCTTCAGCTGGGGAGCAGGCCGACCCGGGCTCCAGCCCAGCGCCAACCACCTCAATTTCCTCACTTGTAAAGCCCTCCCCGACAACTGAAAGCCCCCGCCCAGGGCTGAGCTGCCGGCCTAGGCCCCACCGGCCGGCTCTCCATTGCATGGGAAGAGGGCCCAGGGAGGGAGGTGAGGGTTAAGGCCTCCGGGCCAGGGCTGGGGCCCGAAAAGGCAGGAAATGAACTGGACTCTGGCCCTTCTCAGAAGCGGACTTCATTCCCGGCCTGGTCTTCCCAGCTGCAGCCATTTCCCGGCCCCTCCCCAGCACCTGGCACCTCCATCTGTCCTTCTCCCTCCCGCCGCTGCACCGCCACCGCGAATCCAGAGAAGGGACCCCGCTGCCCGCCACTCTGCGGGCACCAACACCGTGCACCCCCGAAGGGTCTGGGGCGCCCGCTGAGGAGGCCAGGAGGGATGGGGAGGGTTAGGGGGCGCTCTGCAAGGGGAGGCTCCCGTTCCAGCCCAGGGCCAAACCCAGGTTGGCCTGCATCGGAGCCCGGATCTGAGACTTGGGTCCAGAGAGGCCCAGACTCAGACCAAGGGCCCGAGAACCTGTCTGGAACATTCCAGCCAGGGATCCCACCTGCCCCTGGGGTGGGAAATCCAAGAGCCCCGGCCCCAGGCAGCAGCCGACCGCATGTCCCCTGCAGCCAGGCCTCGGGGCCCTGGGAGGGGGGGAGCTGCTGGGGGTGGGAGAAGGAAACCTGGGGCGCGTGGGCAAGGACCCCGCCTTGGGGGGGTGCCACCTCAAGGCCGGTCTTGGAGGCCCTCTAGGAGCTGGGCAGAGGCCTCGCTGGAGCCCCTAGTGGCTGATCCGGGGACAGGCTGCGATTTTACTCCTGTCACGAAGTGATAAAGACCTGCCGGCTTTAACACCTGCTGGCTGCCCGCGAAGCGGAGGCACCTTACCCCACGGTGGGGGACGAGGACACAGTGCGTGTGGATCCACAGGAGGCGACAGGGGCCTGGTGGTGCTGGAGCAGTACTATTGGTAGTCTTTGTCCCGGCCAGGACGGGTCATCTAGCGAAAAGGGAAGGAGAATGGACCCCGAGGGACCCAGTTCTCAGAAACCCGGAAATCTTCAGGGTTTTGTTCTGTTTTGGGGTTTAGTTTTGTTTTTGTTTTTGTTTTTTTGCACCAATTTCCAACCCTCCACTTCCAATCCAACACTAAGACATGTCCACTCTACCTGCTAAGTAAATAGGGAATGTGCCCTCTTTCTCTATGGCCATCCCCTTTATACCTCGTAATTATCACGATTTGTAATTCTGTATGTGAATTACATCATGGCACTCAGGGCACGAGAAATGTGCATTTCTTTATTCTGATAAATCAAATGAAATCTAGTTGGAGTCCCCTGCTCTTGCTGCCAGGGTTGGCAGGAACTCTACTCTTAGTCATTTACCAGGAGCCTGCCCCTGTCCCTGGGGCCAGTCACAGACCCAGGAGGCTCAGGCCATCCTGAGAGGAAGACACACAGGCTACCACGGCAGCTGCCTCCAGCCTCAGCCAGGCAGGCACTGGTGGCCCCAGGCCCCTAGACCATGCTTGGCTGGGAGCTCCCAAAGCCTGCCCAGATTGAGTGATGTTTATGCCATTTCTCTGGGCACCCCTGTAGCCCATCCCTCAGCTCCCCAGCTCCCTGCCCTTTCTACACACACCCACCCCCTTCTGAAGTCAGGCCACTCTACCTCCTCATCCATCAAGGCACCTACACTTTTTTTTTTCAGATTTTATTTATTTATTTGAGAGAGAGTGCGTGTGAGCTTATACACACACAAAAGGCGGGGAGGGGCAGAGGGAGAGGGAGAAGCAGGCTCCCCCCTGAGCAGGGAGCCCGATGCAGGGCTCGATCCCAGGACCCTGAGACCATGACCCGAGCTGAAGGCAGACGCTTCACCGACTGAGCCTCCCAGATGCCCCCAAAGCACCTACACTTTAATCCGTTTTCCTCAAGCAGAACACTATAACATCCTCAATGGGCTAACATCCTCAAGACCTGATTCTTGCGGGGCATCTCACACTCCCACCAGCAATGTATGAGGGTTCCAATTTCTCCATTCTTGTCAACACTTGTTACTGTCCATT